TGTTCGGTTCATTAAGGGTCTTAAGCTTCACTGGCGTGACTGTCCAGGTGATACATGCTGAGGGAAACTAGAACATAGAAGGATAACTGCAATGCATGGTTACAGTACATATAATACATATAATCTAGGAATAGGCCTGAGCAGAGGCCCAAATGTTTCCAGCTTTTTGTTGCAAACCTGTTGCATTTCATTCTACTTGGTAACAGATGACTGGAGGCGATAACCAGCCCTCAGACACTCTGAGGGCTTAAGATTATTACCTTGTATGGAAGGTGTTATCAAAATGAGAAGTTCTATGTCTGTTTATAGCTATTAAAGATGTACAAGATGTACCATTAACTGTGACTAATGTCTGGAACCTATTTTAATCTGTCATTGACGCCATGGGGGGGCGTGTACCCCACTGCTTTATAAGTATCCACAACATATATTTTGGTCAGAAGACATATGTTGATGTTTTCTCCGGGCTGTTAATAAACTCAACGTTTGATTGCACTTTTCTGGGGCCTCCGTGGTTTGTGACACTGCTCTACATTGATCGATTTCGCGACAATAGTCATCTAAAATAAATAATAATAGTAATAATAATAATAATAATAAGTAAATAAACTCCAAGATACACTATTTTAAATTAGAAACAAAAAATATTTTCAACTGACTGGGTTTTTGTGTGTTAATATGATCATTAACATATTATTTTAAATGCTATTAAAAAGAGAGTGCCTTGGAGTAATTTGCTTTTTGGCTCATCCATATAACAAACAGATCAGTTTCTGCATTGATGACGCATCTATCTATCAGTTCATCCATCTGTTCATGCCTCTGCAATTCACAAGAATTTCTGCTCCTCCTAGAGCAGAGGTCAGCAACCACATATGGCTCTTTAGTGGGTAAAGAGCCACATGCAGACCCACTGGTTAGGGTTAACCTGACCCTATTAATACATATACTATATGTGTGTATGTAATATCCTCTCCCAGTTACGCCCATCATCCACCCGTTGGTCTCCCATTACATCGTTCCTGACACCTGTGTGTGTCTGTTGTTTTGTAGACGGAGCTATATAATATTTAAGAAAGGAATATATAATTGTGCTTTATGTTTTTCATAGCACTTCTCGAAAAAGACTCCTGCCATTAGAACTGGTCCTGTTACATTTCAGATGCATTATTTATCGATGTGTTCCAAGCATTTTTTCATATCCATACCTTTTTTAATATGAATATTATTTACGCTTTAAAGATGAGAGCTGTTCTTACTGAAGAAAATTGAAGTTGGAGGTTGAAAACAAGCGGCATTTTTAAATTAGAAGCGAAATTTAAATTCAAGTTGCTTGAGTTGAGCGCTTTTACTAGTCCTTAAGGACCCCAAAGTGCTTTACATATCCAGTCATCCACCCATTCACACACTGGTGATGGCAAGCTACATTGTAGCCACAGCCACCCTGGGGCGCACTGACAGAGGCGAGGCTGCCGGACACTGGCGCCACCGGGCCCTCTGACCACCACCAGTAGGCAACGGGTGAAGTGTCTTGCCCAAGGACACAACGACCGAGAATGTCCAAGCCGGGGCTCGAACCGGCAGCCTTCCGATTACGAGGCGAACTCCCAACTCTTGAGCCACGATCAACAGGCACACCATGACTTGGATGGTTGGAGGAATTTTTTTCTATGGCTTTGCGTTCAGGAACTGATCCTCCTGAGAACGGAGGTAGAAAAATATTTTTCAGTAAAAATATCTTTCTTTAATTTTTTTGTGATATGTGCGTCCACCACAGAGGACATACATGAACAGGCTGGGTCTCAGCACGATATCACACAGACTTCAAAACCCTGACATGAGCCTTTAAGTTTTCATTTAGCGCCACCTTCAGGAAAAGTTATTGCGGCACAATGCATTCTTGTATGTACAAATATCAAATCATGCATATAATTATGAAACACACTAGTCACTGAAAAGTACTTCATAAAACATATTTAATAACAAAGTGATGTGTTCCCACACTAAATAAGATAACAGCTGCATTTACACACATTTATTCAGATCATCAGTATCGTTGTTTTTCCAACTAACATCACATTGGATCTCCTCATCTCACTGAGAGTCTTCTACAGGTCGGTGGGCCAGTTGTTGTAGACAGATGGACACATGTACTGTTTCAGCAGCAGATTCACTTTCTCCGTGTCTGCTCCCACCGCACTGTGAACAAACACGGCATAAAAAACATGCTGACACGTGCGGATAAAAACACAAAGAGCCATTAATGAAGAAAAAATAAACTCTCTAATGATGTCTGCTGAACTAAAACCTTCAGTTATATTACTTTATAGTAGCAGCACACCTTAACTATCTCCAGTTTTATATATTAGTATGCATCTAATTTTACATCCCAATGTTTTATTAAGAACAACGCTTCCAATTCATTCAAACCATGTCATACACTTTACTCTGCTACACCATAGTGCTTTTAATATGAAAATACTACAGGAAGTGTGAAATTTCACTCAAAACGTTCATCTTGCCACTAAGTTGAAAATCCAACCAGGTAGATTGTGAAAAACAAAAACCCAAACACTTTATTTCATAGTTTTTTGCGAATTCTACTCAGCTGTTTTCTTCCATTGCTGATTAACTGTAGTCAATGAAACTCAGCATTTCACAATAAAAGCCAGTCAGGGAAAGACTGTGTCAGTAAAAGATCCGAACGTTAATTGAATTGGAAGTGAGGTGACATTAATACCTGAATGAAAACAGTGTTACAGAAGAACGACAGCAGAGCACTGCGTGCAACACAAACTTGTTGTTGGAATTTGTGCTGTGGAGAATTATTCAGTGCTCATATTACTTCAAACTGTTCCTGTTTCTGCCTTTATTTGTTCGTCTCTTCTATGCTTACTACTTTTATTTGAGACCTATCTTTAAAAAGTTGGAGATAACTCTTGTCTGATTTTGATGCATAAAAAGCGAAAAGTCAGCTTAGAGGGACTGCTGTGTATGGAGTCACAAGTTTTTCCATCGTTAGTGTTAGAATATGTTTCACTGTTCTTATAATGTGCCTGTCACATGTCGCACCTCTTCTTTATGCCTTGCATGCGGCGCAGAAAAGCACAGATTGAGGTGTGTTTGGCTTTAGAGCGCAGAAACTCTGAGTATCTGTTTGAGAACTCGATGTCTCCCAGCTGCCTCCTGCGGTCTAGACCTGAAGACATCAGCTGCCTGAAACACAATCACATTAACATTCATCTCAGTTTTATGTTTACCTGTATATGATTTTGAATGTGCACAATTTTATCTACAATAAAAAGGAAATGCATCACTTATTACACAAATACTGTTGACGCTTTTTGTACAGTGGAAAAAAGATGTTAGAGCTGACACTGATGCTCCTCGTCCACTTAAAGTAGCCCAATGCTAATGGAAGACAGTTGTGAGAATCATGTCAGTGAGCTATACAATAAGCTGAAACTCATTGCAAAAATGGCTCCAAAAAGTAGAGTAACAGCAGCAACGGTTAGGTCTTATTGCAAAATCTCACTCTGTGTATATGAGATCCAATCCCACATTTAAGTGAAGAATCACTTTTAATGTAAACTCACCTGAGTCTGGCCTCAAGCAGAGCATCTGCAGAATTTGCTGACAGAGACCATGGTGCGTTCAGGGGTCTGATTTGAGTCAGGAATTCTTCCACTTCATCCTGGTCCCTGAGGTTACATGAAAGGAAGATGAACATTTGAAGAACATTTCTGAACTCTGTTGAGGAATCATAAATCTTTGTATAATAATTATAATTATTATCTTATAATTTCAGATTATTGAATTTTAGCAAAATCTGAAAAATTTGTTTGGGGATGGAACGTTACCTGACAGGAAGGGATGTGATGAGGTG